TATGCATTATTATTTGTACATTTGCCCAAAACCAGTCAAAATTACTTCCTTGGGCAATCTAGTGTTAAGATCGAAATCCTCTGATGATCCTCGGTGAACCTGAACAACGTGTCGTAAGCGAAACTGAAATTTTCACCTATTGGAATGCCGTCCAGGTCCTAACACCGTTGTTTAACATCGTTTAAGATTTACTCTGCGAATTGGTCAACGTCGCCCGAGGCGAACAGATTCGTTTGAAGAGCCTCGCGTTTCACTCGTATTCCACTGCAACCTGAAACACTGGGATCAAAAGCATCGTTCCTGGAAATTGAATTCAGGATTTTTGGGATATCACTCAATAATTTATAGCTAAAAATCGACGTTGCGTAGAACGATACAATTTCCTATAGCGTCGAATTGGAAATTTTCTTTGAGCGAGGAAAAGAGTTAAACCGGTTTTTCGACGAGATGTAATTGAACCCGGTACCCTCGTCGTAAAACCGAGTACCCTTTTTTTAAGATGATTCTTATGTATGCCGACTGGGAAGGATTTAAAAATAGACATCGTTTCACGCTTGGCAAAATTCTACCATTTCTTTTACTACTTTCTAAACTCTAAAGAGTATTTAGGATTTTATAATGATTCCGCAAATACTTTCCAATGTATTTTGAATAATTAGATGCACGACGTACGATTCCTGCTGATTGAACGTTCACTTTGTTGAACGAAATATCGATGAGATCGAGTTATGTATTTCCCCTTGACTTTTACTCGGGATTTTTCGAGATCGAGTGCTCTCCGTTACACAGAGGCTATTTAGATAATTGCGAGCTGTTGCAAGTGTTACAGAAAAAAGGTTGAAGAAAAACCGGCGAACAGTTATATTCTCCTTCGATAATTCAAAGGAAAACAGGAAACGCTCGCGTACGCAGAGACCGACGGATACTCCTTTTTGCATATCTCGGTATTTCGATCTCGACGAAATATTTTCCAACCAGTCGTTAATCAATCTACGGCACGTTCTACTTCACTGATTCCCGTCAACGTTTCACAATACGCATATCTGGGCCCGGTCGGTCTACCAAGGCTCCAATGACAGGCTTTAATGTCACAGGCATTGCTTATTTAGCATAAGGAACGAGCTACCCGATTGCGTTGCGATACCGAATCGCGTAATAAATCCTTACAAGACTTTCCGTCCGGGGAAAACAGAAACCAGAGTAAAAATAAAATAATTTATTAATCGACTCGAGCTGCCTCGGCTTCCCTCGAAGTTACAGAGACGTCCCTACTTTTCAAGATGTACGAATGCTTACATGAAAACAATGACAAACCATTGAAATTTTAGCACTTACTATATATTACATTAATAGAACAGTATACAAAATTTTAGAAATAACTTCCTTCAAAATCCACGAATGATAATCATTTTTTTAGAAATTTGTTTTTAAGTCACTATAATTTATCAAAAAACCCATGAATTGATTTAAAATTTTACAGATAGCTTTTTAATAATAATAGGAATTTATAATAATAAATTCAACATGCTAGCATCGTTTAAATATACAGCCCATACATCCTTAAGGTCGCGATCATAGCAGAACCTGATTATCTGTATTTTCTGATCGACAAACAGCTATTAAAACTTTCACGATACGCATTTACTATTATAAATAACTGTTGACTCATAATCGTCATTGAACCAATTGCTGTTAATTATTTCGATCGTTCTGTAATCTTCATAGAAACGATGATAACTTATTTTTTCGTTGATTGATCCAGGTACGGCGAGAAGCAACGTAAGAACGACTGCCAAGAGCTCAGTGGTATACAATTGCTCTCGGCAACTGCTTATCAACTGAAGAAACCGTACCAGCAGCTACTCATACCGATCACCGTGTGGATCGGGATGGAGCAGGCGTTCATCGGCGCGGAGTTTACACAAGTGAGTAACCACGATACGAACAACAACCCTCGGCATTAACATTCATGGTCGGAACGTTACCTCGCGATTTTTACCAACCGATGATGGATGGTCCTTGAACTTGGTTTTCGCACCTGTGGTTCAATAATCGTATAGGACATAATTGGATCGCGTCAGGCGTTAATGGATACACAGAATTCTTTCCAGAGGAAACTGTTTAATTAACGAGTTTCCGAGAGTTTGACATAGTATCGTTAGTGCCTAACAACGTGGAAGCAATTATTTACGGGTTACTAGATAGAACGGAATCGCGGTAACACGCAATAAATTCGAATAACTCGGCCGGAATATAAAGGGCCAGTGGTACAGCTAATAAAAATGAATCTGTGAGCCAACTCGACCTTATGTTGATTTACCCTAAGGGGACAAAATTCAAAACGAGTAAGAAACGCGTCAAGATAAAAACAATTTTAATCTATGCACATTACCACAACCTGCATTAAAATTCTTTTTATTTCAGGAATCATAAATTATGTCAAACTCCAACAGTATCGATGCCAGATCAAGCAATGAAAAAACAAGACGCGGGCTTTTTATTCGTTTTGAATTTTGTCATGAAATTAACACAAGGCTCGAATTCATTGATACTAACTGTACATACCTTGGGTAACGCACCGATTGCTCCACAATTGATTTTATAGAATCGTCGATAACGGTTGATTTACACCTGTGCATGCAACGAGACGTTCTCTTTAATATACGTCATAGAACAGCTGTCTTCATATTTGTATAAACCGTTTCATTATAAGTCACATTTATCAATCAAATGTATTATTTATGATCGGAGTTCAGGAGGTAACCACGAGATTAGAAGGACGTCGCATTGGGGTGGATGAAAAGAACGCAGTAGACGAGATCGTAATAAACTGAAATGGTGAACGATTATCCTCGTCGGATGCAACACAAAAAGTCTGGTAGGATCATCCGGACGCTAACCGGATACAGAACGGCAGGTTCGCGATGCGTAACGGCCATGCGAGGTCGCGCAATTGTTCTCCGGAAACACATGCCTGCTGATCATGCACAGATACGCTGAAATATCGACCGCCGCGGCACGCATCCTTTGACTTTTAAATCGCTGAACGACGCTAAATTATAAGTTGTATAATACGCGACCATCGGTTGCGTATCGCGGCCGACACTGTGGAACGGGAGATGAGAAACCGCGACGACGACGACGATGAATAAAAAAGAACGGAAAAACGAGGATGATACAGTTCGGAAGGCGAACTCGTTCCAAAACCAGTTCGATGACGAAATGTCCGAACAAATTGGCCGGGGAATGAAGTAATTGGACGGATAAACGCCGCTGAAAGGTATCGGGACGCTACCTTCCATTAAATCAGCTGGGCCGGCATGTTATAAATAGCACGGAATCTTATTCTTGCAGCAATTCCCCGATACCACTTCCATACCTGGATTCCCGTGAACCAGTATTTCTTCTTTTTCTCTCTCTCTCTCATTCTCTTCGCTCGCGTTCCACTCGCCAAGTGACCAAACGAAAGCGCCTCGACATCCTTACAGCCTCCGGAATCGCCTTTGAGAAGCGTATCTTGTATCGCAAAGATAGATAGAAATTTCATCGAATTTCATTAGAACGTTTTGAGACGGACTTCAGGGAAAACTGATGTTCCACGTTTAATTAACTGTGTGTCCCTTTTTTTATTTCCAGGCGTACATCTCGTGTGCGTTAGGCGTGCACCGAGTGGGCTACGTGATGATCTGCTTTGGAGTAGTGAACGCAGGATGCTCGTTGCTCTTCGGCTCGTTAATGAAGTTCGTCGGCAGGCAATCGCTCATGGCGCTGGGCGCCATCGTCCACGTCAGCCTTGTCGTAGTGCTACTCCACTGGAAGCCGCACCCCGCTAACCCATACGTATTTTTTACCGTTTCCGGGCTGTGGGGCGTCGGCGACGCTGTATGGCAGACCCAAGTCAACGGTACGTTTGACAATTGGCAATAAATAAAACAGTAACCGCGAAAGTTTCTTTTTTTTATAATTGAGAGATAACATTGTTTGCATAAATGTAGCTTCTGATTTATGGTCGTGTCCAATTATAGTAATACGAAAAAACCAACGTCCTACCGTCAAATCTTAATTAAAAAGCGTTGCGTGTAGAACAACAATAAACCGGCTATGACTAACAGGCGTAATAGCGTGTACCGGCAAAGCTAATAAATTCTTCATTCGGAAATGGTCAGCCTTTGGTAGTTGCCTCGTTATACAATAATAATTAGTCGGGTCTCTTTTTTTCCTCGAACATTGTTTGGAGAATTTCGTTACTCGGCTAACTGTTCGAAACCGCACGTGTCGACTCGCGTTCAATAGGAAAATCAAACTTTATGTTCGCGTTCGGACAATCGGTGAATGAATGACTGGCCTCATGAATATTTATGCCAGGCTCCGAACCGAGCGCATTCAGTTCATCTCGGTGCCTGGTAGATTTTCCTACCGTGCAGTTCGATCAGATATCGCGATGATCAAGCATTTACTCATTAGATGGTCAATTAAGATTTCCGTTAGTGAACAAGTTCTCTTCGCGATAAGTGCATGGGATACTTTGTACACAAAAATGAAACTGTTTTCGTATTTCCAGGTCTTTACGGCACCCTGTTCAGGCGTAACAAGGAAGCAGCGTTCTCCAACTACAGATTATGGGAGAGCGTCGGATTCGTGATAGCGTACGCCTACAGCACCCATCTATGCGCCCGCATGAAGCTGTACGTGATGCTGACGGCGTTGCTCATCGGCACCTGCGGTTACGCGATCGTGGAACTGCTGCACAGGCGCAAGCAGAAGAGGTTGAAAGCCATCGCGGAGGACCCGAAGATGGCCCAGGCCGAGGCGAACAAGGTGGAGGAGACCGACGACGAGAAGGACGATATCGACGACGATATCATCATCACGCACCTCTGAACACGCTCAGGCATCGACGATGAATCTCATAAGCGTCTCGGCTACGATCGACCACTTCTCTCTTCGACCCTTCCTTATCGCTCACCCTTTCCTGTAACGACGCTCGAACGACGCGGAGTCACTTCCCACGGCGGTGGTATTCCCGAAAACGGCTCGTGGTGAAACGTGCCGCGATCGTCGACTCGTTCACAGGAAGCGTAAAGACGACGATCGTTAATCAGATCGTTTTCTTTTCTCTTTTTGCGAAAGTACGCGGAGCGGGAGATTTCGATTAGAACCGCTACGCAAAGTCGTTCGTCTATTTCAATTCTTAAAACACTCGAGTGCCTTTTACGATCCTTGTTTTCTTGTTCGATCTTATAAATCTCGCGTTTGAATCTCGCAGTTGGATCACCGATGTCAACCTCTCTTCTCGAAGAGACGAAAAAGAGAAACATATTGAAACTCGCCCGACGTGCACTTTTTCCCGAGAAGAGGGAATATGCCAGAGAAAGAAACCGACTCGTGCAAAATTAACAAGAGATAAGGAGGTGCGCGCGGATGGGGTACGCATCGTTAAGATCGGATCACCCTTCCTCGTGCCGAGATTCGACGAGGCGATCGCGTTGTCAACCGAGAAAAGAATTGCTTGCCTTCACGGTGCTAGGAGCGCGTTCCGATGCCATACTCGTCCTTATGCGTTCACACAGTCGACTCCTCCGATCTTCGCTTAAACGCGAGTTTAACGAAGAGAAGGATCGCCGAAACCGACGAATTTTAGCTACGAACAGTTCGACGTTTTCAAAGGACGCGAAGATTAACATCGATTACGAGAAGTTGGATTTTGTCTAACGAGAAATGATCTGGAAAAAAGAGAATTCCGCTTGACGAGCATGAACGATCAGCGAGTATTCGTAATACATAGAAGATGTAAGACCTCCCGTCGCCACTATGTGGAAGCGCTACATAGCAACTTGCCATTAAGTTTTATCGGAATTGTGTCCCAGTTTATGTGATAAAGGTCGGACGTTCCCAGACGAACGTTTCGATCGTGAATCCATTTAATCTTCTAAATGTATATATATATATATTATGGATAGCAATTGTAACCGCGCGGTAAAATGGATATTCCATTGGAACGCGTTCGCGTTCTGGCTCGGCGAGGCCAGGAACTTTGAAACGGTAACTGGCCGACTTTCATGTCCTTGTTAATTATTGTGTTTACTTTTTGCCACTAATGACCACAGATGCACTTCAATCAAAGAAGCATTGAATTTACGTATGATTCGAAGATACATTGATTTTATTCAAACGTTTTACGACCGTCCTTTGTTCTATTATGAGATACAAATAGAAACGTTTGATCCTCTCATCGTCAAGAAGCGGCAGACTGGGCCTGCCTAGGATTGGGATCGTGCATCTGCATTTGAAACGAAATTTTAAGAAAAATAAGAAAGGAAAGGACATTTCCCTGGAACGATAAAACGATGAAACGTGCGTAGATTATAAAATTTGTTGCGTGCACCACGAAATGCTGTCACTTATTAACTGAACGATCACCTGTAAGAGACTTTGTAACAAAACTGTTGATAACAATTGAATTACGGTCTTAACGATTAGGAAGAGTATCGGAGAACGTGTTTAGTGATAGACTTAAGGAACATTATAGTTGATAATTTAACATTAAGTATTCAGCAAAATTAATTTTATAGATCACCCTTGTTCTTTTTGTAGATTAAAAGAGTTTGAGAGAAAAACAGGAAAGAAAGACAGAACGTACATTATGTTTGCCTTTACGCGAAGACGATTCACGATCGGTTGTTACTAACGAGAAACGAATGGCATGGAACGTTGTTATTCGCAGAAGAAGGGACACACCTGTCCCTTGAATCAGTATTTGTTACCCGAATCGCATTGTATTATGCGTTAGTTCTTACGATTGTTCAATGATCATGCAAGTTACATTAGTACTACACGTCTCTCTCGACAGTATCTATATTCCGTCCGCCATTCGAGAAGGTTGCTCAAAGAATCTTTACCATAAGATCAGAGTACCAATCAAATCCAGGTCACATTATTTTTTATATACAGTGTACGTCATTCGATTCGTACTCGAACAGTACTTAAAACTCGAATCGTAATCTTGCTTATCCCCTCGTAACAAACCGGAGACATTTCGTCTCTTAACGCCGATAACCGAATATACGTTTGTACAAAAGGAGAACGACTATCTTACACAAAGTATTAAGACAATACTCTATACGATTGTATAAAAGAAAAAAGACGTTCGCAAACGGAACGTATAGCTTTCTCTCCCGACGAGTCGAAAGCATTATAAAATTTGTAACAGACTTCTATACCCGTTGTTATTTCGTTATCCAATATTTCCTTGCGAGATTATATCATAAATAAATTTAGGAGACAGACGAACGTGTAATTGTTACACGCTGCGAAAATCTAAAGGAACATTTGGGAACGGTGTAAGTATATAAATGAATACTGTTCGATAAGTTTAGAAATCGTTGTTTATTCATATACATTCTATCTCTCGTGTAAAATGACGAATCAGGCCACTTGAACAACTGAATTTAATATGCAAATAACTGTTAACAATGTACTCGTTGGATGTGACGGTTAAATGCATGCTTAACGAATTTGCAAATAACCTCGCTAACAGTTAATTAACAGTTTTATCAATAGAAGGAAATCTCTGGGCGTGTATGTCTGTATAATTTGTTCGAGACAAATTCGATGAATCCGCAGCTATCCTTTCATCTCTATAATGCTTTTAATTAAAACTTTATAATTGGACTCGTAAAAATTTCTGCTTTACAATATACGTGTGTGTGTGTGTCATGTTTTACAAAATATAAATATGTTAAACGTTTTTATTGCAGTTCATGCAAGCCCGCCCACTTGCACGTGTCGAAATTATACGTACATGTATCGTTTCACAAACTTTTTAATAACCGTCCTAGTCGTTACAAATGTCTAATTGACGTTATCAACATTTCTATACCTAATTAATCGAAACGTATTCGTTAAAACTGCTCATTAATTACGCGAGACATAATTTATTATTACTTTAAATTGTACTCGATTTGGAATTGTACGATGTGTCACTTAACCCTCAAAAGTAACTAGAAGAAGTTGGAAGCAATTTCGTCATTACGATATGACTCAATTTTATATCTAATTGGATTAGTAAGAAATTCTATCGATACAGTGGAACGTCATGAGTTCAACGAAATATTTAGATTATTCTCAGACGGAATCGTATAAAACTAATAACGATCTATACTACGAGTATTGAAAGATGTGTATAATCGAGAACGTAACAAGAGACAGTTCTAAATAATTGATATGCTATAATTCGAATGTAATAGGTACTTCGCGTAAAATATGCTACTCGACGAAATGATGGCATCGCGAAGTTTACGTCGAAAATCGCTCGAGCTTGGAAGATGATTACCAAGCGACAATCGTAGTGCCATCAATTTTTCTGACTAGTGCATGTGCAATCGATAATATTCAGCGACGATCGTACTTAAATCTGTACTCGCGTATCTAGACGTTAATATCACAGACAAGAGTAGGAATTCTCATCTGTGTATTGTCAACACATTCGGAAAAGATATGTCCCTTTAATCCACGTGCATAAAAATACATATACTCCTCGTAGAAAGGTATGAAGAATTAATCGAAGGGTGCCTCGTTAATTGTGACTAGTGTCTCAATCAAAATTGACTATGTATTCTCTTTTACTTGACTAGCTTCGATATGTGTTCGCTTATCATCTACTCTCACAACCAGCCGAAGTCCATTCCGGTCAATTGGTAGAAACGTTGATTGAATGGACGATAAAAATCTCTCAATCGTTGTATGGCTACAGGATCTATGTAAGGATGACTACGACCCTTGTTCTTACCTTGAAACGATATATTTTCATTGTTAGAGGGACCGTGTCGTCCGCGCTTCGCGTTCGAAGAATTCTTGAGGTACGCGTATCCGTTTAATTTTGGCTACATCGCGATATCGTCGATTTGTCAACGGTTTGACGTTTACGCGTAGAATAATTGATTGTTTCACTTACCAAGGCAGTGGGGTGTAGGACGTTCCTCAGATTTGAGCAGACAGGGAAACCCCTTTGTCGCGTTGAAATAGAAATGTTTCTCGCAGATGACTCTCTTTAAGCCTAAGAAATCTTGAACCCTGGTGATCTCGGCCACCGGGTCGACGATCAATCTCTCACCGGACACGAACACGAACTGAGACAACGAAAAGTACTGAAGCCATCTTTCCAAATGTCTCGCGTAGACTCCGATCCGCAACGGTACCCAGGACGTGTCCACGATTTTCGAGCCGTTCAGAAACGCCAGATCCTCGAACTTCGGCATGTTGGCCCGCTTGCTTTTCACCTGGGTATAATCGGATATCGCTCGAGTAACCGGATCGCGCACCACGAGAATTAATTTCATCGCCGGGTTCATGCGTTGCACCCTCCTCGGCACTTCGCTCGTCACGAAATACGACGGCGTTTTCTCCATCGTGATTTGACTGCTCAACGTAGGTGGCATCCTATGCCTGCAGAGTGCAACGAAACAACAGTGGTAACATTGTCAATGCCAGAACACCCTTTATGATGGTGAACAAAGAATTACTGGACCGAACGAAACGATATTCGTCTTCCTTTAAAGGAAAAGACTAGCGATTCGAGGAAAGAGCACCTCTTATCATTTTCGACCGCGAGGAATTAAATCGACTCTCCCTCGTTCTCTACGGTGAACCAACCTGTACCAATGGAATCCTTTCATGTAATGATGATCAAAGAAGTGTACTTCGGAGCCGGCGGCGCGAATAGCGGGGTGCAGCCTCAGGAATTCCAGCAACGCTCTGGTACCACCCTTTTTAACGCCGATTATCAACGCGCTCGGCAATTGTTTGCTGGGTATTAGACCTTGCTGTTTCAAGATCTGATACTTCCTCGAGGATCCTTTCAGACTGTTGTTGCCCGTCCACAGAGACATCAGCTGAAGCTTCGATACCTTCGAGTGTTTCGGCTCGGCATCGTTCGAGAGGGATTCCTTGTTCGGTTTCGAAGGTTTCTGCGGATTCGCTTTACCGGACAGGCCGACGATCAGTAAGGAATTGTCGATCAGGAAGATCCAGATGAGAATGACTAGAAAACATGCCGGGGCTAGGACTCTTTTCGGCCAGGGACCTTTTCTAAATTCCATAATGAACTCAAGAGTCGTCGAATTTCACTGGCATCCTGGATTCCATTATATTATCAAGCTTTCAGTCTTCTACCTCCGTGCTGATATGTCAGGATAGATACTTTCCCGTTTATCATATCTGGTATAAACAATTCTGATCACTCTCGTATTAGAAAGAGAACCTACGTACAGACATTTTCAAGTATTCAAGCGGAACGTTTTATTTAAGAACGTAACGAAACGATGCGGAGCGGAATTCTGCAAAATTGATCCATGCTGGATACGCCGGTTGCATAGGTCGAGGAGAGGCATGCGGAATTATCGTTCGAATCGAATGGGTCTCGAGGTATACAAATCAATTCATACACAACGTCAAATGTTTTTACCAAAACTTTTTATTCCGATTATGCACGACAAAATATAAATGACACATGGTAAAAGGAAGGGAGCTGAAGAAGCAAAATAAAATAATCGCTCTCTCAAGAAGGAAAAACGTAGCTACGATAATAGCAGATTACGTACAGGGGAGAACTGTTTACGTATTTACCGCAGCGACTTACCTGCATGCCGTAGAGTATCCGGGAGCACGTTAATTATGCACGGCATACATGAATCATGTACTCGATTCTTTCCGACGGCTGGGTACGAGGATCGGCGAGGAGCTACGTGGTTTTGTTCGGACGAAGAAGGTGCACGATTTAACGCGTTATCAGTCGGCGCGTTCGTAACAATCGATAACGACGGAGCAACCGGAGAAGGGAGAGACGTTGGTGCATGCGACACAAGGCGTGTCGACGAGATTTCATAGCTACCGAACCGGATAACGAGAGGAGTCGAATTGATCCTCATCCTCGTCGGGCTCTCCCCGTTTCGTTCGAATCCGAGCGTGACCCACTGTTGTCCGTAGGTCGCATCCCGCGCTACAAAGCTTTACCTCTCGTGCCTCTCGCAAACATAGCTGCTGCTCGAATGCGGCAGAGCGCGCGATACTGGCGCCCTGACGATTCACACGGAAAAACCGACCGAGAAAACCGATATAGCTATGGTAATTATAGTAAATTTCACGATATCGAATGATCGTAACGCAATTCTTATCAATGGTCCGACGAAAGTACTTATTTCTTCCTAGTGAAACATTCCAACTGGAACATTTTTTCAATATGAAATACAAAATCTTGAAGAGTGAAAGAAATTGAGACGATTAAGAACACGTATGTATAACAAGAATTTGATGACTCTCTGATTACGTCTGGTGTTTGCAGACAATTGATATGTCTACTAAAGTCGACGTTCGACCGAGACGAGTATTAAAAGGAGGGAAGTTTGTATTGTTATGTACTTAGTTTTATAAGAAGTATAACGCGTAATTTTATTGAATTTAATTGAATCGTCGATAATTTCTTTAAAACATCGAAGCAAGAGAGGCGCTAGATCAGTTAGGTACGCGACTGCCCATCGTTACACGTGTATATAATACAGGTGCGCTTATGTGTGCGCGTTAAGAAGCATTAATTAGTAACGCCAGGGAAATTAACGCCTTGCCAGCGATCATTATCCCCGAAGTTGAAAGTGCAGCACTCTGTGGACGCATTTTGTTCGCAGGTAGGAGAACGGAGGAAAGGGTTCGTTACGAAAGAATCCTGGGAGAGAAAAATTCCGCGGGACATGAATGAATGACGGCGCGTCAACTTGATACAGGACTGCTCGCGGCAAGGGCAGAGGCCATGAGGCCTGTTGATTGGCCGGCCTTTGAAGGGGCAAGTTTGGTCAGGGGCCGCGAGAGTGCGCGTCCCGCGCGCACTCGTGTTAGATCTCGATGGCGACCAAGATGTGCCTGAGAGACGAGCCGCGAAATGCCTAGCCGTGCAGTGTCCGATATCCCGTGAATCCGCAGCGGTCCCCGTTTGCACGAAGCGACTGGGTTTATTGCTTTTGATGGCCCTCCTCGTGTCAAGCACCGTCGATTGTTGATCGGCCGCGGGTGGTGTATATGTATTTCGTCGCGAGTGTGGTGCGTGTGTGCGTCGTGTCCAAGTGTCGAGAGTTCACGCCGAATCATCATCGTCGTCGTCGCCGTCGCTAGAGGAGAACGAGAAAGTAAGGACGAGAGAGAGAGAGCTACGATGTGTCTGCGTTTCAGCCCGTACCATTTTCCCATCGATAGTTGACATTCCCGAGCATGGAACGTCGGTCTCACCGGAGAGACGCATCGTCATCGCGGCATTAGCAAATACAAGAAGCACCGTCGTCGGATATACCCGGTAAGTCCAGCAGCGCTGCCGCCTCTTCTGTTTCGAGAGCACCGATGATTCTCCTTTCTTAAAACTTCCCGTCTCCGTCTTTCGCACGCCCGCTGCCGAACTCGTCTTCCAGGCTTCCCGTCGTCTCGGCTCCTCCGGTTTCGCGTGTTTCATCGTCTCCTAGCCTTTACCCCGCTTCTTTTCTTCCTTACGTCAACGTCTTCTCTTTCCCACTTTCTTATACCCTGTCTTTCGTCCCTTCCTGTGGCAGGATCCGCGCGTGTATCTGCCATGCCTCGCGTTACCACAAGATCGAGACTCGCGATGTTTGACTGCCGTCGTCGCTACGTCCAAACGGGCGGGCAGCAGAAACAAAGAGAGAAACGAATAAATAACGTGAGCGATCTCCTCGTGCGCAACACCGACGAGAGGAATCAGCCGCTCAGAAATACACCGCGGTGTTTACGTCCCCGGGGCCCGATTTTATTCCCACCGATCATTTCCCCGTACCTTTTTCTCTCCCCACGGATTTTTATTTCCTTCCGTTCTATTCCTTTCGTTCGCCTCTGCGTCTCGTTCTCGTCGTCGGTGCCCCCTGTTCGCCGTCTCTTTTTCCCTCCTCCACCTTTTTCTTTCACCGAGATCAACTCCACGTCTCTTTCTCTCGGTCTCTCGCTCTCTCTTTCTCTCCATCTGTCTCTCTCCGGTTCCCTCGGTTTCCCGCTCTCTTTCACTCTGCTTCTAGCCCATGAGAGAGCTTTGCGCGTCTCGGGGCGCGTGTATTCACGAATCGAGCTCTCTTTCTTGACGTGTACACCCAGCACCGAAGGCAGCCGTGCGTTTTCTTCTCGACGTCGTTCCAACAGCTTTTCCACCAACGCAGATCTCGGCAAATTTTATTTCGCACAACGAACAAATACCCGAAATTATTCGTAAGACGACTCGACAGCGATTTAATCATCGGCGAGGAATGATTCGTTCTCAGGTGTACACAGCGTACAGCGGTCTCTCGTCTGTCCTCGTCAGGAACGCATACTTGGGCCGTGAATTGAAAAATACGAATACGAATGAAACGTATGACTGTAACACCAGATGTTGTACCGTTGTCATACTCGGTCTAAACGCTGTTAGTTTTGATTCTGGGAGGGAAAGCAAATTGTCAGGCTTTGAACTACTCGTCGGTCGTTCGATTCGTTCAAACGATAGATCGTTCTTTAAACACGAAGGGTTCCACGTGTTTGGAATCGATCTCCCGGTATTTTATGCGAAACAAAAATTTATTCCAATAACGCCCCAACTCCTTCTGCCAGCCGCGCGCAGTTTCGTTTCTCGCTTCGTACCCTACCTTTTTTCTCTCGAGCCTCCGCGCGATCGTTCCGGTTCCACGTCCGCTTCGTTTTCTCTCTCGTTCTCCTTCTCCGCGTGTATCACCGTGCTCCTTTTTCATCCTGAAACCTAGCCGCGCGCGCGAGTCCTCTTCGAGTCTCCGCGACTTCTCTCTCTCTCTCTCTCTTTTCCTCGTATTTTTTTTTTACGCGATTCCGGTACACGCGCGCGCCTCTCCTCTTTATCAAAAACAATACATATGCTTACGGTGTGCGACCGCGCAGCTCCTCCTTATAATCGTGAATATCAATCAGAGATTTTATAAATAATTCAGTAAAAACCGATAGGAACCGTCGTAGTCGACGTGAGTCCTTCTCCCTCCCCCGGTATTCATTCCCCCCCCCCCCCGGCGGTCCATTATCCTGGCTTCTTTCCGTAATTGACGACAATAAATGCGGCGAATAATTAAGACACCATTACTTCCTGCTTGATCCGCGATACCATCGATTTCAGAATCGAATAACAACTTTTTCTTCCTCGTTTTTCGGAGACCGTTACTTAAATTACTCGTTAAGGTACCTACTATTATTTCTAGAATCAATTTACGGACAATCGTATCGTTGAACCTTGTTTAATATGGAAAACAGAGAATTTCATTACTAAATTAGTCTCCGTTTTTTACCGCGATCGTAGCACCGGAATAATTTCGGTACCGGTGTTTCGCGACGCGTACTCTGGCCAATCTCATTTACTAATGTTCATACGAAACGTTTGATAATTTACGTGAAATACGTGAAGCTTCATCGTTCATTGAGCTCCTCGTGTATATCGGCCGATTCTCATTTTTGTTCGCTTTCGAATTTCGTTTGTCGGTACATTTATTACACAATCTCCAGACCAATTATCTTAATCGCGTTTACCTGTTACGCGATACGAGAATCCATTTAGATCAAAGCCTCGTTACGATTTTAATGCACTGTCGCAGACAGTCAATGAATTAAGTCAAACGTGTTTGTTACAAACTTCCTTTCATTATTAACACAAAGCATTAACAGAAGCCTAAACTAGTTCAGTTTTATTAGTTGTATCCCACGAGTTTTAGTTTGCAAAATTCGCGGTCCAATGATAACAACGGAGAAATGAATTTCTCTAGAAGAGTGGCTATAGGACCTGGACTTTTCTTCGATATCTATTTCTTTAACGAAATGTATTCATGGCGATCTCCTTTATCTCGAGCTCCGTTATTCGCTTGTATTTCCATCGTTTGAAAACTGGCCGACAAAGGGGTAGGCAATTAATAACAGCGGCGGTGGTGGAAATGGAAAAATAATAACCATTCCTTTCGGACACCGATTCGGTGGTTCGATCGTGCGTCGCGATGCGTCCGCGTTTGACATGGTAATGGATGTTAATAACCACCGGCGCAGGAACTCGCACGTGGTAAGTGTGCCCAGGGTACACATTCGGGGGTGAGCGTGGCTAAGCGTCTGTCGGTTGCGTGCACAGCCTTGCCGGAGCGAATGGACGTCAGCAGCGGGCGAGCGGGCGAGCGGTAGTAGTTGATAGAAGCGGAGGTGGTGACGAGATGACGGCGCAAGGGGTTTCAAGTAGAAAGGGAATAGAGTTCAGAAGCGGCCGCCTTTGATGTAGACACGCTCCGCAACTCCTTCACGCCAATAAACCTTTACGGCGAACGTTTCTTTAAAGCTTTCTTTAATATTGTCATCTCTTCCCTCGACCGTTCTCGTCCGTCGCGTTCCCATTGTTGCACGCGAGGGAACAACGTCTCGCCTCTATAATTCAGATTTCTTTTCTTCTCTCCACCGACTTTCCCCGCGCTGGTTCCTAACGCCGTTTCCGGGAATAGACTCGTGTCAAGCGTTACGTTTATTTTCTTATCTCTATCGGACTTCGATCACCGGTCTGTTGTTCGTGCGTCTCATTTTCAAAGCAGTTGCACCCGGCTATGCATGGATCTTTAAATTGTAATGCTACGTCAGCTTTTACATGCAGCCCGTACAAGTGCGCACGGAATCGTGTCAGGTATAGTCGCCGTGCTACTTGCGAACGCTATCGCACTCATTCTCCGAGCGTTCTAATAATAGTTACACAATTTGCTTTGATTCGACACGAAATTTTGCGTTCCGTGTGCCGCAACAATTTAACGGAGACTCTCCGGTGCGCGCGCGGGAAATAAAATTTTTCCGCGAGCTACCCGTAAGTAGGTTCGGCCGTAAGAAAAATGGGTTAAAAGCCGTCGTAATTCATACGTCATACCGGGTGAAACGTCGGTACGTTGATACACGGTTCGCCCCGGCGTCAGGAAAGTGGCTATCGAACGGGAAGAACAGTCGTACCGCTATCGTTAATGCGATTACAATTTCCGTCGGAGAGCAAAGAGTAAATGTTAATGATATCGTAACTACCGGCGGCGGCGCTATGAAAAAAAAAATGATGAGAGCCGCCGCGTCTTCGTGACCTTTCGTTTATTGCATCTAACAAGCTTCTTTGAACAACGACCCTCGCTCTTCTGCAATTATCGACGATAAAGTGAAAGCTTTTACCAGTCACTTTCAGCGCACGCAAGGGAGAGTCTAGTATACAAAAATAAGAGTTAAGAATAACAGAAGACGAGGATCGGACCGCGGGGACGACGACAGAGGGACGAGGGGAGAGAGAGAGAGAGTGAATGTTACCGGGCGAAACCTTTGTAAAGTCAAAGAACATCGATTTAGAGATCCTCGGCAAAGGGGAAACTCTTTGATATCAAAATGAGAGGACGCAGAGTTCCCCTGTGCCTTTAAACCGCAGCGAAGCACGTGGTATCAAACGGCACGATCGCGAACGGGTGCCCGCCCACTCTTTCCGATCTTCGGTTTCACGCTAGGGGATTCCCACAACTGTGTGTGCCGTGCCGCCACGGCGACAACAGAGGGTGGCTCCTACGCGTTGCTCCCTTTATACCGGGTAGTTCACTTAACCCTATGACCTGAAACAACTCTCTTTAAATCTTCGAATCGCAATCCCGGCAGCGGTAGCTGTCCGCCACGCTTCAACCCATTCATGCGGGTAATCCTATTCTCTTACGATATCGCTTTCCTATTCTACGGGGTGTCTCTGAGTGCTCCATTGTCGAGTAATTGACGGGAAACGATTGTACAAAGGGACGCGTGTAGCTCGATCGGTTCGGAGTAATCGCCTGTTTTAATTGGCACCTCGCCGTCCTTAAGAGTCGGCTTATTACCAACCCATTGCTCTCACCGATACGTAACGACTCTCTCCATCCATCAACTGTTTCACATTGGCTCTTTCGTTGTCGTCTGATCAAGTACGATTGTCGATGAACTCCCGATTTTATGCGTTTCCTCCTACAAATGTTTAACATCTAATTATTATTGACTACCAATGCGAGTATTCATTATGAAACTCTGTTCATAAGTGTCTGCACGAAGGTAGTCACGCGTCCAAAATTCAGCAGACTTTTTGCATATTTAAAACGTTCCAAGAAGTGTCTTCCAGGTATCCACGAGAGGGGCACGTTGTTCCATTAAATGATAGGTTCATAATACGAAGGCATCGCGTTCTGCGCGCAGTAATTTCGGTAAAAAACGAGTAATTTAATATGCGATGCACGATGCGGCGGCGGCGGCGGCGGCGGCGGCGTGGAGTCGTGTCTCGCGTGCCTGTATCAAAGCTGAACGAGCTAAAAGGCGAAATAAACGCGAACCGTGTTACGATAAGGGGAAAAAGAAAAATCGGCCCGCTAGGAATACGGCGATAGGGAAAACCGGGCGGTGGATTCGGGAAAAGAGGAGGAGGGCAGATAAGTGAAAGAAGATAAAAGGGCGCCGAAATGGTACCGCGTTTGATTCATCATCTCCTCCGTCTGTGTGCAATAATTGTCTCCATTGTCTGTGCCACTGTTCTCACTGTTTCATCCTCCGTTCTCTCTCTCTGTACCTTCCTCCGTGTTCGTCCGCTCTTATTCTTTCACCACCGTTTTTATCGTTCGGTTTCTCGGTGCCGTCGGTTCGTTTATTTCAATTCGCGTGTCAATCTCGCGCGCGGTTAAGAGGGTACTGTACCTCTGGCCGGGTCGGTGCACGCGGTTCCGTCAAGTGCGCCAAAACGGAATATATCTACATGCGATTGTTCGCCGCGCGGAGATACAAAACCAGTGAATGAGACAGCCCTTTTATGGTAAGGAACGAACGAACGAACGAACGTACGTTTCAGTTATTCCGCGTTTCGTTGGTAGCGCGATTATGTATTGACTAACGAGCAGACTGACTACGGATGAAAAACGTGACGAACGCCACCTGCCATTGTTCGCTGCCTGCTCTTCAGTTTTTGTAAATAGGATCTTTCTCTCCACGTTTTCCGAAAGGACAGACACTTGTGTGTTAGATAGTTAGATCGATTCGTACTTCTCTGAACGTCTGGGGTAACTGCCCTGCTGTTCTTCACAGTCTTCGTACCAGAAGGTCTCGTTTCCTTCTCCTCGGAGTATTTGTGATAGATAGATAAATGTGTCAAACCGCACCATCACCTCGGTCACTGGCCACGAGACGAATCCCTTCAACCTGCAACAAATTATCGCTTGAGCTCGTCTCCGCGTTTCCACCGGCAATCGTTGGCCACTGATATCTCTACTTACAATGTATCCGTCCTTTGACAGACGCAGTGTTTCCAATAAAAACTACGCTGCACATTCCTTACGTGTTGACGACCGTGCAGTCGTGCTTAAAAATAACACGCCGCTAACGCGTGCATAATTAAATTTTAATCAGGTGATCACAGTTCTCTTTTAGTCGTTCGAACGGATCGACTGTTAAAGTAAATTGAATTACAAAGCCGGTATTAACCCCCCGGTTCCGTGACGCGGTATATAGTTACGCGTACGTTCTGGTCGGACGGGATTGAAAGCGAGAAGAGGTGAAGTATGCGTGTATTGTCGCGAGAGAGACTGAGGGGGAATAGAAGAAAGCGAAAAAGATAAACACGGAGTCCTTTAGGCCGTGCATGCGACGAGCAAAGAGCGCAGACAATGAGGGTCAAAGGCGCCACTTCTCTTGCCACGTTTTTAGCCGGGCGATTCTTCATTCTTTGAGGACTTTGTTCCACTACCGTGGACCCACGGGAAATTCTTTTCCTCTGCCCGAAGAGGCCGATCAAACAGTCGCGAGTATCATCGTCTTTCCACCGGCCTTCGGGACGAAACGATGTCCGCGTATCGCTTTCCCCTTTATGATAATAACGATCCGCAAACGCCCGATCCCCGATCGAACCACCGCCGCCGCCGCCCGTTTCATCAAGAGGTGAAACCATTTTTTGCGCACACGGATTCGATTAACCTTCTGCCTTCGTGTGTCATCCGTAATTACTCGTGGAACAGATGCCACACGATAATGGTCGGGGGGGGGGCGGTGACGCGTGGAACGTCGGGGCAATGTGTTCCCGAGCGTGCTGATGCTTATTCTATCCATTAGACGAACGTAACGGTTTCGAAGCTTAATTATGCACGGTGTTCTTCAACCGCAGCTTCGATCATTTTAATTCAGACGTAAAGCCTTAGAAGCTTGTACTGAAATACCCCGGGAACCTCGAGATCTGTGGACGGTGTGCGCGAGGCAAGCTATTAAAGATATTTGCAAAGATTCCTTTTTGCCAAAGGGGTCGGCCGCTCGCGCGCACACTACGTTATACCCGACGTGGAAAAGCAATAGAAGAAACTATAAACTATGACCGCGAGAGGTTGTCGAATGAGGACTGAGACCACGACATGCTCGAGCGGATCGAATCGCGCTCTCGGCACAGTTCTATCCCTCGGGCTTGTACAACGATCCCGTTAACGAACGACGCCATTAAGGGCGCATTAACATATAATTTTCCGCGAGAAATTATAGGCGACTCGGCTGAGTTCGCTCGCACGGTGTTTATTATACACATCCAAGAGCAACAGAGTGCCTGGCTTGCCCTGGCCGTGCGCTGTCGATCGAAAGCGCACACAACCAGGCGGCAGGACCGTGCGCGCCGGCATGGCAAGGTGAGCCGGGAGAGAGAACGAGAGAGAGAGAGGAGAGAGAGATTTGAAACCTGTGGTGGATGTGTTGGTGCATTCATGCGAATCCATATTGAGAGGCCAGAAACATGCATATATGTGTGTGGGATCGCGTGCGGCGGCAAGATCAAACGGAGATTCTCCTTCTCTTATACCCTCTCATCGTAATTCTACCCCCTTCGTCCCCCCCCCACGGCCGCGCCGTACGCGCCGTTCTCTGTGTCTCTCCGTCTCGGTCGCACCAACAGCCGCGCCGAGCCGTCTCCTCCTTCTCCCTCGCTCTCGTCTTGTGCAAGTGGTACCAATGCGTTACTTTACTATACATATAGGTAGTTTCTCACTTTTGCTCGCAAATGGTCTTTTCGTTAACCCCGTCTCTCTCTCTGTCTCTCTCTCTGTAACGATTTGGTAGACTGTTTCTCGCCGCTTTCCTTCTGTTCCTACATTTTTTGTTTCTCTTTCCTCGTCTTGCAACCTCGTTCATCCTTTTCTCGGTTATCGCTGATAATTTTATTTCCATTAAATCGGCCGCTGTTCGCCAAACTGAAGTTCCCGATTGTCTCTAATTTTAACGGATACGTGCCCCGTCGCATCCGAGCTTTCGCTCCGGGAACGTTTCGTTATATCAGGAGTACCGAAGTTAAAACAACAATGGCAAAGTAGTTGTCTAGCCGAAGGGAAATAGGAAAATCGTTCTGTATAGAACGTCACGACGAATTTTGTAGTTGGAGATAGTTGGATAGGATAAATCACTGCGTCGGCTTGTAATTTACCTGCAGGGAGTCGTTTGGCAGCGACTTCAATCGAATTTCATTGAACACGAAGTTAGAGAGACCGTGTGTCTGGATTAGACAACGGTTGAGAATAAACGGTTTTCTTTTACCCAAAGCATTCTCTGGCTTAACTTTCCATTAACTCAATTTATATTTGAACATCCCGTTTTCTACTGACGCCGATAATTACGTTGAATCTGTTTATCTCTATTATTATGGTTATCTGAAATGATCAAGTCGTCACTTTTAAGGATTTATTTTTATGATCAGGATAGAAGAATAAATAAGATCCACGAACATGGCGTCGGCGTAGGGAGGCTCGGGGACGACAGATGGCGCACAATTACCGATTTATAATCTTATTATAAAAATTCTACTTTTGCTAATAGATAATATAATAGGTACATAGCTGAACAGATAAATCTCCAAGACCGTTTCTATTGAAACATACTGTAGATTCTATGTTTAGGATTAATCAAACAGAATCATAAGGAGACCAGGCGATCTCAAGCGATATAATTATTCCTATCGAATCTGTAATAACGTCTAAACCGTTTCAGCAAGCAAACGATATCCCTGCGTGCACGAGCCTATCTCCCTGGATCCTCTCTTTTGCTTTCCTAGGAATCGGACGTTTCCCAAAGTGCATTGAGTCTCATCATTAGAGGTAACCACTTGTTCAAATTTATGAAAAGTTCTCGCGCTTCCTCGCTAGTTTTAACAGCGCGGATAGGACGTCTACACATATATATTTCAGAAATTTGCCCTTATACCTGGACCCTACCACTTTTTTGTCCTGCGTCCACCATGGTCCGACTCTGGGAGGGAGACTTTGTAAGAGGGAGAGAAAGACAGTCGCGCGGCTGCGAGTAAGGGAGGTGTGGCGAGAGCAGGAAGAGAAGAAGACGAGGAAAGACGGTGGCCACGTAAGAGCGAGGAGGGAAACAGATAACGCTCTTGCTCTCCCTCGGTTCTACCGGTCACTGTGTAGTTTCAGTTTTACCGTGTACGTTGCATGGGGCACAGGTCTCCTCCTCGGCATCCTTTGTCGTATTCACGTTCAATCGCGCCGTGTCTTCGGTCCTTGTTTTTCTGTTCGTTTCGTTGATTCGGTGTACGTATACAAAACGGAGAGATTCCGACGATCAAACCGTTCGGAGAAATTCTTCATCGGCCCCGCGCGATCCATGCTTACAAACCCGCGCGAAAGTTTTGCCTCCAACGGAGGAACAAAGAGTGGTTTATTTTTCAATTGTACTTCGATCGTTCGTCGAAGCGAGTGCGTTGCCATATCTAGACGAAGTGCGATTTTAACGATGTCTACGAGGACGCTGAATCAGCTTCGAAACTCGATAGCTCGTCCGGTGGTATTTCGTACGATTCCTTGAAGTACGGACACACGAATTGACTGATGTGCAAAGTTTAGTCGAACTTAATTGGGTTTTTCTACACGCGTAGAAATGACAAATTATTCCCATGCTTCGTTTTACTTAGCTGGTGAAACGTGCGATCGTAAACAAAACGAAGAGGTGCAAGAAAACACGACACGAACCGGCGTAAACGCGAGCACGTCAACAGTTAGAAACTCTGTTCCTAAGTCAGTTTGCACGTAACGTAATTGAATAAAAGGTATATATACAGTTCCTATTCGTAATCGTCTCACGTGTGAACTTTTAATCTTATTATTTATCTACGAAACGCAGTTCGCGTCTAGGATCCGGGAGAAACAGTGCGTCAAGATATCGGATTATACTTAACTGTTAATTATGAACAATTTACTCTGGAGCGGCGAGTGTTTACGTGGATCGCAGGAACCTTTGAAGTGACACGAACAAGTGGTTGCCTCCGAGGCATGCGAGATGTACAAGCTGGAAAGTGAATACGAAGAGAATCCGATGAAGAAAACGTATCGATGTACCAATACGAGAACGAGGTATAATTTTAGATCAAGTCCATAGCGTTTGTAGTAGAGCCAAAAGCGTGGCTCGTTCAAAAGAAAAGATGGAAATCGATTAATTTCGGTGATCAATCAAACATTTGAGTATCTGTAAAGATCGATAGGAACGTGTCCTACGACGTTTTCTGTCATCATAGTCGTTGAAGCGTTTTATCAATGATCCTCTTCCAGAGATATTTCAGTGTAATAGAGTGATTAGCTACGTTGGGAAATTCTGTTGTTACACTGCGAATGGTGTTAAGTAGACGTTTGGACGGTCCGTTTATACGGTTTGCGGTAGAGCGCATTACTTGGATTTCATAAAACGTGAAAATTCATCGGTCGAAAACGTGGACCCATCTGGTCGGAATAATCTCTAAAGCATATATTCGTCGCGGGCGAAGAGGGAGACGAATGAAGGTCAATCGGAATTGAGAAGAGAAAGGCGGGGCGATGAGGAATCTTGACACGTCAGTGAACATTCTCCTAAGCCGATGGTCGAGAGGGCCGGCGGTCGTCGGTCGCGAGACGGTTGTGTGCGACGGTCGACGACCGACGGTCGGCGGAGCTGCCGGCCGAGAGAGAGGAGTCGGTCCCTTAGAAGTTTCTTTGAAAGATTCGCAGCTCGCAAGGCATAATACCACTACATAAAGTCATCTGGCGATAACAGTGACACGCCTTTGACCGTTTCCGCTCCGTCTTTCACCAACAAATCCCCGTCGGCGCTTCAAAAGACTTTAGAAGCTATGTTTATGGCCCGATCGGGATCATTTCCGTCTCGGACCGATAACGTACCCCGGTGTTATTTAATTGATAATTCATAATCGCCCCGCTGGACACTCGATACTTGTATAGATAGCCTCCTTCCGCGTATAGTAAGGTGCGTGCAACTACCTCTGAAAGGAGGAGGGAATGCATACACAGATTGGGTAGCGTTACAACATGCTGCCACGGTTTGCCATTGAGACCCTGAATGATTTAAAGCTTGGGTTACAGGAGCGGGCGGTTTTTTTTCCCTAACCCTAGCTTTAAAAGGAAGTCTGAAAGTGCCCCGGGACGAGATGGGGGCTGATGATCAATGCTCCCTTTCGCATCGGATACCGTTGATAAGGAAACCTCGCTTTCTGGTCGTTGATTATCGAGCAACCCTAACGTACCGATTGCTCTGACGCGCGATTTTTATGCGAACTTACGTACCTTAAAAAGTTTCCACTTTCGTTTATCATTAATCATGCGCATCGAACTTCATAGACGAGAATATGAATAAAACTTTCCCAACAGATTTCCTGACTGAGGTTCTTTCTGTGTTGAATCTGCGTGACTGTCTGCATGGGAGGAAGGCAGGTCAATAAAGAAGGGAATAAGGGAATGAAGTCAGATAAAAGATTCGTATTGTATATTCCGTAAAGCCATGTGGAGGTTTAAACGGTGGTCGTAAGAAAAGCGTGGAAGTTGGCTGAGAGACAGGAGTTCCTCCCGGGTCGGGCGCGTAAAAGAGATTTTAGCCGCGGTCTCAGGGCGCAGCTAGACCCGAAGGTGGAAGAAGGAAGGTGACGCGTGAGAAGGATGACTGGATTGGTCGGTAGAAAACTTACAGGTACCGGGAAAGAGGGAGGCGAGAGAGAGAGAGCCTGAAAGGGTTAGCTGAATGGGCGCCGTGTGTGCTTTTCTCGTTTGAAGAGCTCCGGATTGCCCAGTGCCGTACCGAGATTTCTTTGCATTTCCGCGCACCGACGAATCATTTCAATTTCCCGGTATCTTATTAAATTCCACGTAACATCTCTCGAAACGGTTCTCCAAAATATGCGACTGCTTCCAGCGCTGACGACGATGGACTCGCGCGGCAACGGAGTGAACGAGAGAAAATTTCGGTGTGGAAACGTTAAATCGAAATGAAGCGCGATGGAGCGGAGGGACGAAGGAACCTTTGGTAAAGAGAATGACACGAAGAACGGGGGAGCAAGAGAAACGAGAAATGTCGCTCATCACCTATTCTCCTCCCGGTCGTTCTTCCTTCCTGGCTGCAGCCTGTGTTTTTCGGACAGTTCCGAGTACAGCGAGCCGGCGATCGCCGACGCAGCAATCTAAGACGCGAAAAAGAGGAGGTGGGTAAAAAGAAAGGGACGAGGAAGAAACGTTGGAGAAGAGAAACAGAAAGAAACCGAGAGTGAGTAAGTAAGTAAAGTAAGAGAGGCAAAAAATAAAAGAGAGGGAATCGGAGAGCCCTTTGGACGCGTACACGGGGAAGGGTCAAATAAGGTGGACCGCTGTCGGAGTCGAAGCGGGAGGCCGCTCAAAGTGGACAGAAAGAACGAAAGAGAGACAAAAGGGAAAAGAAAACGGAAGAGCGAACGAGCAAACGTGAGTCGGACAAGGACGGGCGGGGGGGGGGCGGTCGTTGAACAAGGAGGAGGCACGAACGGGACGGACGGTACAGGTAAAGGGCAGGAGGAACGAGGAGGAGGAAGGCGATGAAGGAGAGAAAAAGGCAAAAAGGGAGACGGAAGACACAAACCTCGCCGGCTGGTGGCTGGCGGCTGGCGGCACCGCTTGATGTACGTCGGGTCCGTAATTACAGGTTTTCGGAACGCCTCGCTCGGCGAACCACGCTCTTTGAGAGCTAGGGCCCTACCCTCGCCTCCGTCATCTAACCGGTGACTTCGAAATACTTGTCATTTCTTCGATCTCTTTTTCGCCGCGGGAGAAAAATAACGCCGGCTCCGGAAAATGTTAATGCGTCCACCGGGAATGCCCGCTATGGCGACCGTCCTCCCCTCTTCTTTTCGGCCCCGTCTTTGTAGTTAATCCCCGGCAATCCGGCAATCAGAATTTCTACTTTTCTCTGCCTCGGTATATCAAATCATATTGTAATCGTATTCGGCTCCGGACGTAACATGGAATTCAAGCACACTAACGTTAATTAGTTATGGTTGTTGGGAACACGCGGTATGTAGAGGCTGGATGAAACTTTTAAACGTGTACAAGCCACAGTAAACTGCTTAAAAAAAACTCAAACGCGACGTATCGTCGGATTCGATATGCCCGTGGTTAATTTCGATTACCGATAGCTTGAAAAATTGATAATTAAATGGAAACTCTTTACGGCTATTCATCGTTTGAACATACTACGTCCTCTACGAGTGGAACATTGACATAGATATTTTTTAAAATAATATCGGTTGCCATTCCTGGTTGAAATTATGTACCAGAATTAATGTCTGGCTACTTTCCCACGTAACAGTATATATATCACGGAATGGCAACGTCGATATGCAAAAATCAAAAATAGCGTGGTGCGATTTAATATTGCACTGGTACAAGAAAAGCGAGAAATATTTTCGGATGAGTAAAAAGCAATGCGAGCTTGGAAACAGGATTTAAATTCCGCACGGTTGATACATTTTTGTACGCTCGAGAAAATTTCAATATCTTCGGGATACGGCCTTCCATGGATCCGTGGTTTTATACTCGTCGATATCAAACCATTCGGTATGCGGGGTAACGCCGATATCCTACCATTTACCGACCAAGCGAAAAAACGCGAATAGCTTACCCACTCGGAGATGAATCTCGTACCTATCGTGTCCAGATGGCTTTTCTACATTCTTCGGGGTTACCCGCGACTTTCACCTCTGAGGAATTCGATTCGACCGTAATAAAAATGCTTCGACCGAATTGCATGCGACATCATAAATTTGTTTAAAACTGCATAGAATTACGAGTTTTATAATTTTCATACAAATTCGCCTGTTTCAATTGTCTATAATGGAAACAGTGGTACAATTAAATATTAGTACGATTTCGATCGTTAAAACATAATGAATGGGTACTTAAGCTATCTCGAGTAGCGAGATCCTCAAAATCTATTCAGACCTCGAAACAATGGTCTCGAGCGGTTGAACGGTAGAAAAAGTCGGAGGGGAAGGTTACACTCTGATCGGGAGTCGTGACGGAGGGACTTAGCTTTTATTCGAAATTGAAATTCATACGAAACCTTTTCACCGCGCGTAAAAATCCTTCGGCGTTACAGGCCTAATATGCAGAATTCCCTGTGTGCACGCGACTCGTTTCTTTCGGCATGTATAATTATATATCTCACGGCGCGGTGCGCTTCAAATAATTATAACGACGGACATCATTAAGCGAGTAGAAAATGAAGAGAAGATATTATAGACGAGTACGCGAGACATCGAACGAAATTATTATTTCTCGCACTTCGGTCATTATTAAAACTGTAGATTCTAATGAAGTATCATACATTGATCGGTGGAATCACCCTTGAATTTATATTTCGCGCAATGATTAATGGAAACGAGAGTAGGCACCACTCCTATTTAAAAGGTCGAACAGTTTCAAGTTCAGCTCCCCAATGATTTTCTTCACTCGTTGACAATGAAGTCTCGCAGCAAATTTAAAGTCGTGCAATTTCAACTAACGAAAGTAGAATTGACTTTTCAAAGGGGGACGTTTTTTTATTATTTTCTGGATAACGGGATACGATCCTGTTCACCTCCTGCTAATTAAGTCGTAAAACAAAAGGTACATAGTGGGCGTTATTAGTTATTGTAAGAATACAGCGCGAAGGATCGTAAACCGGAAATTGGTAGTTTCGTACGAACCTGCTGCTTGTCAGTAATTATATACGTAAGTGTCAGCCTTAAATCTAGATCTTCAGAAGTATGGTTAGAACGAGTTTTTCGAAAGTCTTATGGAGTATTTTAGAAGAAGGGAAATGAACAATTGACCGTTCAATTGTTTCCTGATATTGATCATGTATTTAAGTACGTGAATTAAATAACTGTTTCATATTACACAGACAATTCTCATATTTTCAATGTCTAACGACGTGCACTTGAGTTTCCGAAAGTTTGGATTGCGATCGATTGGTGAACAGACAATGAGTGCCATCTATGAGCATGAGGGGAACAAAGGATGTAAATAAACTCGTAACAGTCTTTCTGTGTTCTCAGTTACAGGTGGTTGAAACGGTGTGCTTTTGTTTTTTATTTATGTAATTTTCTGTTAGTTTTCGTTGTTTCGGTTATTTAGTTTATGATTTACATTGTAAAATTGTTTAATGTTGTGTTTTATGTTTGATTAACATAGTGTTAATGTTGTTCGGTCGTGGTGTTACGAGTTATTTTCATCTTTTCATCAGTTATAAATAAATCGTGCAGTTTAAATTTCTTCATTTTTCGATATTGGAAAGGTACAATAGAGATAACCTGAAAGATCGCATGTTCCATGTGGCAGCATGCTCCTATCAGAGTAAAAGATTTTGAAATGGAAAGCTTCAACAAATTAACATTGTATAATAAGGAATGTTACATACCATTTGAGGGACATGGAAAATTTAATTGTTTTTATACAGAGAGTAGTGGAAGATTAGTAGAAAAATGACATAGTTGAATCTGAAGTATATATGATTCCTTAGAATCATAGACAAAGGTCTGGTGTCAATACAGGTGCTTTATTTTTTGATAAAGCTCAAGTATCTAGGTTGGGAAAGTCAGAACTGTGCGCTTCACAATCTCAGACATTGTATCCCTACTCCACCCTTCCTGACTGTAGCGTCAGTCCTGGTCAGGACGCAGCCTTAGCTCAGTTTGCGTAGAGACGTGTCAACAGTGGTATCGTATGTTCATTCTGTTCAGTCTGACAATAGGAATTAGAAGGCAGTGATAGGGGTGATCAATAATATTCCAAAGATTACAATAGATTCTGCACAGCTATTAGTATTTCAGTGTCGAACTTCCAGAAAACCTTCAGCAAAATGGTATGTACATTCCTATTCATCCCTTATGCCAGGTAAATGTGCAGTGAACCGAGTTGATTCATTATGACAGCTTTTCATTTCATATTTTTCTTTTACTCAGGTAGAGATCCGGTTTCTGTGCATGTATACAGCTTTCAAAATCGACCACTTACCTATATAACATACATTTCCATTGTACCTCTCCTGTCTTTTGTTCTAAAGTATAGTATTCTGGCTCGTACTTCAATCAGAAGACCATAGAGGCATCTGTGATACTTTTAGTCATTGAAAATGCATGAACGAATAAGGATATTTGACATTATTGAATATCAGAAGAATTGAACTGTGCCTGAGCTCGATAGTGTGAAACATTGGATTGAAGTTAACGTGTTACACAAGTGCTGAAGAAAATTTACAAATTGAACTGTGGCTCATGGATTTCTGTGTGTGCAAGTGATCGTAATACAGGGGCCTTATGAAATCATATTTCTATAGTCCATCCTAACAAAAGGCTGAACCTAAGGGAATAATGGGCCTCTTTCTATAGGATACCCTTACCCTATGGACCTATTAATATCCATCCATCCTATCAAAATATAATCCTGTTCTCTACAGTGAGTTCTCATTTTGGAAACCAAGCCATATTTGGTTTTAACCGGTATCCCAGTGGATTGCTGTTATAATTTTGTCGATCAATACCACACAAATGCTCTGCGCCAACCAATAGGGATATATAGAGAAGGCACCTTTCAATGCGCAGACTGCCAGGAACCTCTACCCTGCAGTTTTTCTGCCAGACTCCACCCTTGAGCTCTTCTGGCCAGGAAAACCATCCTTAGGTGCTTAATTGGTATATGACTCACTGCAGGGCTCGATCGATCCACCATCCCTAGGCCTGGAACCATTGTTCAAGTGCTCTAACTTCCAAATATGAAACCCTTCTGCTTGGATACTCCATATTCAAATATATAAAAAACATGTGAAATTAAATATGCAAATTTAAGGTTATATCATTTTGTGGTTATAAAGTAGTCTTGTGAAATATGACAGATGCTCACTTGTCATATATGAGTAAATGGAGGGGAGAGTAAGATAGAACAGTTTTGAATTATGAAGCAATGTATGCAACAGGCTAGCTACATTGAAATCGACTATTTAACAGCCTGAAGCATTTAATCATTTATTATTATAAACAATTTTTATGAAGGAAATAAAGTTTTTTCAGGAAAGGTGTCCAAATATTTTGGTGAATCAGCATATGAAATACATCATTATGAAAAGACATGTGTCATTTTTTCGTACCCTACCTTTCCTCCACCGAATTAAATATATGATCCTAATAATTATTCAATTGTATCAAGAGACATTGAGATTCTTGACTATTCTCAAGAAGAGTACATTCGTTTTACTAATTGTAGAAATGTCTTTCTGCTTTAGGTTTGGATTAACCATGTCTACTAAGCGGCGTCGTGGGCCTAAATTAAATATAAAGCGTAAAATAATACGTGAGGGCCATAATAGATAGGATGAGTGGATCTCGGCAGAACGAAGCTCGTTGCTTCAATGAAAACTCTCCACGGCCACCTGTGCCTGGTAAGATATGATACGATCTCGTAGCAGTTTGCAAGTGGTTCGCGTAAACGAGTTGACGGAGAACTTGATTTCTAGGGGAGGAAACAGGAAACTACGTCAGCAGGTTCCGTCCACAGAGTCCAACTCTGACCCCTAGGCGTTCTTCTCTTGCAACACCAACAGCTTCTTCGGGTTGCGATGCTTCGGCACCTCTGGGATTCGAACCGGAAGGTTGTTGTAGCAGTGCAACCATGGAAAGTGACTCCTCGCCTGCTTGCTTGCGGTGGGCCAGGAACCTGCATTCCCTGCTGCAGGATCCAGTCGGTTTGGAATTGTTCAGAAAATACCTGGATCAGGAAGGGAAGCCCCATGCCAATCCTCTCAACTTTTGGTTCGCCTGCGAGGGTCTCAAGGAGCAAAACGATCCCGAGAAGATCCATCAATTGGTCAAGCTCATCTACAGAAAGTTCTTCCTCAAGTCGCAGTTAGCCATACCAGAAGATGTATGCAAAGAGGCTAATCGTCGGGTCAAAGAGGGCCGGGTTGACGAGAAAGTGTTCGATGCTGTACAGTTGGAAGTCGAACGTCTCATTAACGAGACGACCTATCCAAACTTTCTTCGATCCGACATGTATCTCCAATACGTTCAGTCCTGCCAAAACCCGGACTCTGGCGGATGCCCTAGCTCCTCGGGGTCCAGCCGAGAGATGTCCGTCTCCTGCGGGCCAAGCTTGTTGCCCACTGTCCACGAGGACAGTGAATTCGTTAGTTCCGTACATAGCTCGCATTCAGCTAGCGAAACGCCTGGGGAATTGAGGGGTGAGCTGAGATTGACCAAAGATATGCTTATGGCTACCCAAGAAACGAGGGCGATGGATCTTCGACGAAAGCCAGAAGCGTATGCCGGGTAATAAATGTTCCTTCCCTACTAATTACGATCTTTTTGAATTCATTCATTATCTAGTACGCTTTCGGAATTAGATTTGCATCGAACGCTTTATTTTAGCCGCTGTTCCTGTTTAAGCTTGTGTGGATTTATGCAATGTTTTGTAGTGTACAATATTCCATATACATAGTACTCCCCGAGTTTAAGACGATTAAGAAAAGAAAATATGACGGATTATAAAAAAAAGCGTATTATATGAGTGTTTTTAATTTGTTAATATCTTCGTTAGAACGTTTTTCAACCTTCCTTTTTGTTTGTTATTTTCTTTTTTGGTTTGATGTTTTGCGTGCCGCTCGTAGCATTTATTTGCAACATGGAACTAGTCCATACCACATGCTCGCACCCAGACTGCACGCACTATATTCCTCGTACAACCCAGTATCCAGACAGGATTCAGAACTTCAAAGCTTGAGCAGTGATGCACGAACTGAATCCGACAATATGTCGCTCACCGATTCATCAGTGTAAGTTTATACAAGATCATATGTAAATAAATCCGAATATCAGATTTTACTACCGTATGCTATTTTACTTTGCCGATGTGAATACATTATTACTGACTTACCCTAATCGAAGATGAGGGATGTAATATCTAATGGATCGCATCTGTTTTTCGTTTGCAGAGATGGAACCTCAATGAGTAAACAACGAAGTAAAAAGCAGTATATAAGACATTGTAGAGCTATAAAAGATTCAGCTAGTTTAAATCGCGACTCGCTGGCGCATCATACTATCATCCCGCGTACGCAGCGAGCACCGCGCGACCTCACGCATCCTCTGAAACCGGCGGAATTTGCTCAAGTGCTAATCGGGAAATTGGAGAACGTTAAACGCGAACGGGAAACACAGGAGAAGCTCGACAGGCATCTGCAAGAGAGCGAGGCGATTAACAAGGACGCGCTGACTGACGCGTTGACGGAGAAGCTGATGATACAAGAGGACAACGATCAGGCGATCCTGGACCAGCACGTGTCGCGGGTTTGGTCGGATCTGACGCCCTGTCGATCGCCCGGCGGTCTCTCGTCGTCGAGGCTGCATTCGCCTGAGAGAAGACGCTCTACGCACAATTATCCGCGGCCGTACAAGCAGAGGAAAGAGAAGGACGTGTTCTCCACGTTCTCAGCGGACAGCGGTAACATTCACGACTTTCAAGAAGGCAGCGATCTCGTTGGGGCTGGCTCTATGAGTTCACTGGGATCTCACTTGCCTAAATCTAAATCCGTGCCATCCGATTACGCCGATTCCCTCCATAAACAGGACCTGTATCTTCAGGGTGCGTCTTTCGAACACTCTTCGTGCCGAACAAGGTCTGATTTAATGTATGAAATATTTTCAGGTCACGATCAAAGGTTTCGAAGGTCGGACATGACCAGAAGGTCGGCCACGAAGAAGTCTATGACGGAATTAACCGACAGCGGTGTGAGCGTCGTGAGTGACGCGCCGCCGTCGGCAATTAGCAAGGATATTATATCGTGGCTTAAAGAAAGTGACAAGAAGGCGGACGTGAAGCACAGCCGACATGGAAAGAAGTACGGTTCTCGCAGCGGCTCCTTGGAACGAACGAGCAGGGAGACGTGGGGCGTCCCTGCTCAACCTTTCGTAGCTGATCCGGGAATGCCACCTTTACCGCAACCTCACACGGTAATTAGAAATATAATTCGTATATCAATCATCTGGCGAACTGTGTCCATAAAAATGTTTCGCAAACAGGCAACCCAGTTAGAAGAAGCGAGAAGGAGATTAATAGAGGAAGATAGGGCACGTTCGAGTTGCAAACAACGTTATTCTAATATTTCTAAACAGTCGTCGTACGAGCCTACAATGCAAAGTCAATCTAATATCCAGTCGAATCAGTCAACGTTGAAGAAAACGAAACAAGATATCGGAGATTTTACCACCGTTGTGTTCTATTTCTGTGACGAACAGTTTCCTTATAGGACTAAAATTCCTGGTCATAACGTCACTTTAAAACAATTTAAAGAATACCTTCCTAAAAAAGGCAGCTATCGGTGAGCGTGAACAAGTCTCGTGAACTATGCTTCTGCTTGACTACGAACTTTTAAAGCATTATATTCTTTCATCTTTAGATATTTCTTTAAAACTGAGGACTGCGAGGATCTGGACGCCAGGGTTATCCAAGAGGAAATAACCGACGATTCGGAGGTTTTACCGTTATGGGAAGGTAAAGTCAGGGCGCAAGTCAAGGCGCTGGAGTGATAGACTGAAACGCAAGGATATTCTGGATGACAAATGAAAATGGAACGTGCTAAACTCGGAACAAGTGCCGCAACTATGTTTATTTAAGAGGACCAGCATTCTATAAGAGAACCACAATAAGGCAATATTCGGTGTTAGTTTATTGAAATTGCTGAGACGGTTTCTTCCGCCCAAGCTTACCAAGCAAGTGCTTTTAATCAATGAAACGAAAACGGAAACCTGTCGAACGAGCAAACTTGGTATACGTTTATCGGCTGAACAGGAAAGAAGGGAAATGGAAATGTCTAGATTTTGTGAAGTATTTGTCACAGGATTAACATTTCGTTCGTCATTTCCTCTACGCCAACTTCTTCGTCCGGCAATACCGCTTCGTATTATTTTCTTAGAACAATGAAAACTACGCATTGCCCTTTTGATTCTCTACGATTTCAGTTAAGACTTCCTAACAAGAATTAAGAGGTTTTGCTACGAGTGAAACAAGCAGAAATTGAATTAATAGCAATAAAAAGTTGATCGCATTAAATTTTCATAAACAGTATTCATCTGACGGTAACAGGGATTCGACAGAAACGGAATATTAGCAGAATGTTCGTTTCCGATTAATTTGGACAGGTTGCAAGCAACGCCAGGGAAAAATGTAAGCTGTGTATATTGATTGAATAATTTCTTCCTCTTAAAGACTTCCCATAGTTTTCCAAACGATTGTACAAAGGCCCGCGTAGTTTCGCCTTAGTAAGGTCCGTATAGGCCCTAGACTTACATAGAAAAAGGGACATTATCACAAATTAGTTTGTAAGGGGATATATTACGTGCATTATAAATACACACCACTCTGTTTAATATACGTAATATATCGCGCATTCGAGGATACCGTGAGGAAAAAAAATAATAATTAAGAACGCAGATGTTTTATTGTACCACCATTATCATCCATTTTGACATATTGTAAAATAAACTCCTGCATAATTCATAAACCATGTAACTGAGAAAAAGAAGTTGGGATCGCGCAACAAACACACACACATACACACACACCCACGCAGATATGCAATTGGCATCGGGGAAACAAGTACTTTGGTGGAAAAAAAAATGATTAATTAGTGTCTAGACCGTAACGATGTGTTATCAGGTGCGAAAAATTGTGCCTTTTTAGTGCAGTAAGGTCGAAGTAAGCCTAAGGAAAAAAAAATGGTTAAGAGATACTTATTAAATTGGAGGCCCTAGCGGGCCTGATATCGAGAGGATAAATTTGATACATCGAGCGTTTTGTATATATTTTTTTCCAAAAACTTCATCGTAGTCTTTGCAAGCTTAATCATTATAGCGATCGTTACAATGCTAAAAGGAATATTATCAGCATTGCGTTACTTCGTTTTGAAACGTCTACGCGTTTCCCGGTATCGATTTTTCGTCGATATCTCCTCTACGACCTTTACTTTTCCTTTTTTCTCTTTCTCTTTCTCTCTCTCTGTCTTTAACGATTCTGTTACGTGGTGAACAGCAGGTGGGGAAATGAGTTAAAAGATCGAACGTGTGATCGAATCTTCTCGAATGGCCTTCGCACACTGGTTCGATTGTTGTAATAGTCGTAGGAGCTCGCTTCCTAAGCAAATGAATTGTAATACTAATGACGGAACGAAACAGACGACGAAAATGTAGCATCTACATTTGACTTGAAATGAAAATGAAATCGATACGACGCTGAGGCTGGAGGCGATGCACCGTGCCCGATGACGGTTTATTGTATGTAATTGATTATCTTTAATTAATACCACGAATGATAAAGTGTTCCTGTACCTAATTAATTAATAATGATTATTATTGTATATCAAAAGTATTGAGAATAATAATGCCATTTTCACTGGATTACACGAGATCTATTTGCATTCAATCATTTTACAGATTTATTCCTTTAATTTTAGTTACGCATTATAGTCAGCATGCGGCCACATGGGGCGCATAGTACATACCCGCCGGACGCGGTTGCCAGGCAACGCCGGCCCGTACGTCTGGTTAAATAGTTGCTGATGTAATTTTATTTTGAAATTTAATGTAAAGGGAATGTGAAAATACAGGAACGGTGTACATTATAAAAATAATAAACGTTATTCGTTCATTGTATCATTTACTTATTATTTAATCAATTATTAGGTTAATTAACATTT